TCTTCTTGGTGCTTGGGGGCCAACCGTGGGAGGGCTTCTAATGTCCTGGCCCCACTGGTGGACCTCCTGATGGCACCTGGTATTTTTGGCCACTGTGTGACAGAGTGTTGGACTAGATGGGCCTTTGGCCTGATCCAACATTGGTGTCTCTTATGTTCTTATGTACTTCAGCCTCTCTCTCTTGCCCAAGAGAGCAGGGAAACTTCCATTTATTCCCCAGTCCAGTCGACTGTGGAGTGGCTGAATTTCTGCTGCCTCCCAGGGACGAAGACTGCCTTGGGACAGTCCCTGTTTTCCCACACTTTTTGGCCTTGGGGCAGCTGGGAACTGCAGGCCAGCAGATTAGGAAGTGCCATTCAACCTAGTGAGTGATACCCCTGCAGGCCCCTCTCTGGAACTACAGCTCAATTAAACCTTATGGGGAAACATTTTAAACAAAGAACCACAGCCATCTTACAGTCACAGGTAACTGCCATTTTGTGACACCTACCAACAGCCACGGAGGGAAGAGTTAGTCCCACACAGGAAAAGCGTCTTCATCAAGAGAGAAAGCTGTTTGCCAGTAATTCTCTCAGGGCACAGTGGCAGAAGGGGGAGTGGGCAGGGAAGAGGAGCAGACCTAGCACCCGGCCAATGACACGCGAGTACTCTTGAGTGGCAGCTGATGGGCCAATGGCTGAGGGGGAGCATAGAATCTTGCCACCCCAAAGCAGGATTATAATATAGGAGAGATTTACACATTTGCATGTGCACAGTAATCTATATTATTCTCAGACTTTCTGTCTTTCAAAGCACGTTTCTGTGATAAAGTTCTGATAAGAGTAGTAGAGCCAGCATTGTGTGATGGTTAGTATGTCAGTCTAGAATATGGGGACCCATGTTTGAATCCCTACTCTACCAGGAAGCTTGCTGGATGACCTAAAGGCAGTCACACATTCGCAGCCTAACCTACATTGCAGAGTTATTGTGAGGTAAAAATGAAAGAGAAAAGAATGCTGTAAGCTGCTTTAGGTCTCAGGTAGGGAGAAAGGGGAATGTCATTGAAGTAAATAAATAAAAGAACTATGTCCATTCTAGTCTTTGGTAGATCATTGTATAGCCTTTTTGATATAAGAAAATTACTTCAATACATGCATACCTCTTTTCATTATGTACAGATTTTCTATTGAAAAAGGAATTGCTGGTCAAGTAGCAAGAACAGGTGAAGTTCTCAACATTCCTGATGCCTACGCAGATCCACGCTTCAACAGGTATGAACTTGGTAGGTTACAGTTAGAAATGTAGTAAGTAAAGGCAGCTAGTAGTGTTTTTTGTATTATTCCAATGTTACTTTACAACTTGCATTTCTTCCTACAAGAAGAAACACACATTTACCAGGGAAGACATATTCTCCCCAGCATTAGGGTAGACTTCATTGGTAAAATGCTCCATGTTGCACATAATGAAGCTGTTTCTGAGGTGGATATTAATCTGTTTTGTTGTTGCTCCCTAAGCATTACTGCTAGACACAGGTGCCTTAGAAAATAAAACTGTTGTCCATTATAGATAACAAGTGGAGACACCAAAGGAACCTGCAGGAGCAGCTATCCCATTCCCCCACTTTTGCTTCCTCCCCTTCTCTCACATTCTTTCTCCCTCCTGCTACCCCTTTTCTTACTTTCTCTCCTCCATGCCTGTCACTTCATTTCTCAATCTGCCCCCCCACTCCATCCCTCTCTCTTTTTCTGCCTCCCCACATCATCACTCTTTCTCTCACGTTCTGGCCCCCACCCCATCACTCTCTTTTTCTGCCCATCACTCTCCTGGCCTCCCTCCTGCTTCCCCCCCTCCACAGCAGCAGAGGCAGCAGCAGCTCTGTAGGAACCACAATGGATCTCCCTACTATAGAAATCAGCTCCCATTAGGGTTGCCAGCTCCAGGTTGGGAAATTCCTGGAGCTTTAGGAGTGGAGCCTTGAGAGGGTAAGGTTCAGGGCGGGAAGCAACCTCAGCAGGTTATAATGCCATAGACTCCACCTTTCAAAGCAGCCATTTTCTCCAGAGGAACTGGTCTCTGTCATCTGGAGCCCAACTGAAATTTTAAATGATCTCCAGCCCCTACTTGGAGGTTGGTAATCCTATTCGCCAGAAGGAAATGGCTGCTTTGAAGGGTGGCATCTATGGCATTATGCCCTTCTGAGGCTTCTTCTCCCTTCAACCTCCCCCAGGCCCCACCCCCAAATCTCCAGGAATTTCCGAACCTGGAGTTGGCAACCTTATCTCCTCACCCAGCAGCTGATCTGCCTTTTTCTGCTCCTCTGTCTTAAGCTTTCCTCCTCCCCACACCCAGCAGCCTCTACCTAGGAAAACTGTGGCCTGGTTGCATGGTGCCACAGTTCCCTCTGCCATTCTCTCCTTCTCAGCCACACCTCCTCATGCAGCAACATTGCCGATGCAATGACATCACATGGAAGTGACATTATCACTCTGGGGACGACGTCACATGGCAGTGTTCTCTCTACCATAGAGTTTTGCCCAAAATGGTAGAGCATTGCCGCACGACATTCCTGGTGTGATGACTTCTGTGTGATGTTGCTGCCCCACCCACCCCACTCCCAGAAAGCTGTCTCACAGCCCCTGCTGGCAGAATAAGTCAACCTGGCAACCCTAGTCTAAGCTGCTGTTTGTAATACAGGAATAACAGAATTTACCAGCCTTGAAGGGTTGTTACAAGGATTGTAAAAATACATTGAACACTGAAAGCACTATAAAAATCACAAAGAATTATTAGACAGTCACATGTCAAGAGATTGAAAAAGTTTAGATCTGTGGAACAGATGTCTACTCATTATTGTCCGAATCCACAGCTGTCAATCAAATACACATTTGTAGCAAAGTAATATTTATTGAAGCCATGAAGAAACTGGAGCAAGTTCACTGTTTGGAATAACTAGAACGGTTGGGGCAAAGGATAATAAAGCAGGTTCATAATGACAATAACCAATGGACTTGGTTCCTGCTCGCGTGAGTGGGCTATCATATTCTCACCCAGAGCCTGAGAATCAACGGTTCCCAAAAGATAAACAATTAAGCTCTTCTCACACTCTAGCTCATTATAGACTAAGCGAAGCCGACTCTTCCCCGCACCTGTGACCTTGCTGATTACCATAGTTCAAAGCTGTACTAGCGTTCATAGAAAGGAATGCATGAGACAAGCAGATGTGCGTTTCATCATACCAGTAAGCCTGCGCAGTTGTGTGTCGCTAGGGAGGGGGGGGGGACAACACATGTGAAGCTCATACATTACACAGAGTTCTTTGGCAGCTTGCTGACAATTATTTTCTTTTCCTTTCAATTCTCAGAGAAGTAGACGTCTACACAGGTTACACCACCAGAAACATTTTATGCATGCCCATTGTGAGCCGAGGAAGTGTGATAGGCGTTGTACAAATGGTGAACAAACTGAGTGGAAGTGCCTTCTCTAAAACAGATGAGAACAACTTTAAAATGTTTGCTGTCTTTTGTGCTTTAGCCTTACACTGCGCTAATGTAAGTTTTGCTCCACAAAGACAGCTAATGAAAGATAAAGAAATGTTTTCATGTTTATAACATATGTTTATATTGTTGTATAAATTATTAACAACAAATTTGGATCTGTTAATTTTACTATTAATTATCATATTTGTTTAATCAGTTATACAAATTTGATTGGAACAATTTTATATTAGGAAGTGACAAAAATTATGCTTATTTTGTCTGTAATGGGGTTAAAGTTTAAAATAATGTTTTTACTTTCTTCATAGTAAATGCTCATATTGTCATAGTAACCAAATCAATATACTATCTCTTTTGAAAATACTATTCTACTTTCAAAATTGTTCTGATTTGCAAACCAATATTTTTTACTTTAAGGGAAGATGGACATGGCTGTGTCTCATATTAAAAAAAAAAATCTTTTATTTTAGATGTACCACAGAATTCGCCATTCAGAGTGCATTTACCGTGTAACTATGGAGAAACTTTCCTATCACAGTGTTTGTACAGCAGAAGAATGGAAAAACCTCATGGACTGTGTACTCCCATTAAATATCAACCAAGAAATTGAACTGTAAGTTTTGATTCAGTCTTTTTTGATACAAGAGTAAATTACTTTTATTTCTTTATTTCTTTGACATTTTTTGTGCCTCCTCTCAACAAGCTTTAAATTAGTTTTCATGAACACTAACAATATCATAACTGTTGCCATTATCAGACAATCCCACTGTAGTGTAGTCCCACAATTGACGCCTTCCACTTCCTTCCCTAAAGTCCTCTTTCTAATGCTCCTTTCACTATTCCCCCAGCCCATATGTTTCATAGTCTGGTATTTTCCCAATGCAGGAAACTCAGTTGGGGAAACTAGGCTTTCAAGTAGATACACTTTCAGAATATTTTCACAATGCCTGCCTGTACTTGGCAGTAATTAATTGATTAGATTCTTCTGCCACCTTCTGGCCCCAAGTAGCTCTCTTTGCTTGGCTCACAGTAATAATTTCTAAAAATTGAATTATTTGAAATATCCTAAAACAACCATAGGGCGCTCAGATAGTACGCCAGTTCAAAAATTGCAGAAAACTCTTCAGATTTCTCCAGAAGTGCTGCAAAGATGGTACCAACTTGCTTCTTGAGGAAGAGAGTTCTCCATTCTGGGGGTGGCAGGTGAAAGTCACTAACAGTTTCAGCCGCTAATAGGCAGGTTCCCATTCATTTTAAGGTTCCAGCAAGTTGATATTAAAAGATACATATGTTACATTTTCAGCAAAAATTATTTTCATTTATAGATATGATTAGCTTTCTTTTCCAATATAAGAAAAGATCTTGAAAATGCACTTAATCATTTGTATAAGCAGAATTGCTGATTTCTGATCTGACAGATGGACTGTGCAGTGCAGAGTATCCAACATACCCTAATATTTTATCGAATTCAGTGAAAGGGAAACAGAACACCTGCTGCAAATGGTTATGATGCAGGAGCAATTAATAATAAAAAGACAAGCAGCTCCACTATTCTGAGCCTCAGCATGAGGTTATGGATGTTGACAGGAAAATGTAATATTGAATGAAGAGATAAAATACAATATAGAATGTTTGGATTGTGTTCTTTTGTTTTTTATTTAAAAATCATTACTCCTTAGATGGTAATCAGATTTGTCATCCTCTTGAGTTCATTTCACTATCATCAATGTTATCGTTCCCCTCCTTTACTCTAATTAAGTATGCAGGCTTCCAAAGGTCAGTCTTGCATTTCCTACAGTCAGTATAGTTCTTCAGATCCTTAAAAGGGTTCCCCCCCCTCATGAATTTTCTTTCTCGGAATATTCCACATGGGGATTTCTTTGCTCCTGCTACCAGGAGCCTGGAGTTCCAAGTTCTGGCAGTTGGTACGGAGATAACCCTTCTGCTTCAGCTGATAACTGCAAGACATTAAGGCACCTTCTGCAAGACAAATTATTTCTTCCAAGAGATTTAATAGCAAACTGCATATCAAATAAGTTCAGTAACAAATCACTCAGTTATAAATGCTGGACTTAAAGCAGAACAACATGCTGTGAATGGTTCCTTTTTGTAGATGTTTTGTTTTATGTAGTACAGATGCTCAAACTGCATTGTAAAGTGGAAGAGAAGGGGAGTTTAACTTTTTTCTCTTATATTGTTTTCCTGAACTGAAAATCAAGCCCTCCTTGTATCTGGTTTTGGTGCCACCAGGAAAAATATGGATAAACATACATTGAAGCATCTTAGAGGTGACAGCTTTCAGTGGGAAAATAGGGGGGAAAGGTTATATAGTCCCTCTTCTCCCCCCACTACCCACTTATGGTGATGAAGTTAAAGAAGCTAATAAGAAGACTGTAGAATGAATCATACTGTAGAATTCTTCACCTTAACCTCAGTGACAGCCATATAGTAAAATGAATGAAGACAAATACTTACATGGCTAACTTTGTCAAGAATACCCTGCACTGAAAGAAAGGCAAGAGATTAAATAACTACTGAAGTATTTAGAAAAAGGAAGTAAAAAACTGAAGTGCAGCGCAGTCACGCTGGTAAATAGCAGAACTTTTCAATGTATGGGGAAGATGATAGAAAATGCTCAAACTTGTTTGCCATTTCTCCTCAAGGCAAAGTGTAGTGAACATTTCTTGACCCAGGCCATCAGAGTTTTAACTGCCTTATGCGTTCTATTGGAGAGAGCGCATAAAGCCCATGTTGATGTTCTGGAAGCAGCCTAAATTTATTTATTTATTTATTTATGCATGCATGCATGCTCTGCCTTTCTCCCTAATGGGGACCCAAAGCAGCTCAAATCGTCATTCTGTCCTTCATTTATCCTAACAACAACCCTGTGGGGTAGCGTAGGCTACGTATGTGTGACTGGCCCAGAAAGCTTCCATGGCAGAGTGGGGATTTAGACCTGGGTGTCCCAGATCGTAGTCCAGTGTTCTAACTACTACGCCACACAGGCGATAACTTGGACAGGTCAAGAAGCCGGAATTGTGTGTGTGTGTTAAGTGCTATCAAATTGCTTTTGACTTTTTGTAACCCTGTGAATTAATGGCCTCCAGAACATCCTCTTGTTAACAGACTTGCTCAGATTCTCAAACAGGAATTAATCAGATATAAATGCAATTTTTTATTGCAGCAGTATGAATTTATTTGCAACAGAAGTAATTCTGTATTCATAAGTATCAATATGCATGCAAGTGTCTTGTTACAACTAATTTTATTTTTATGACAGGTACCACTTTGATATCAGTCCCTATGAAGATTTATGGCCAGCCATTTTTGTCCATATGGTCCATCAGTGTTGTGGGACTGGCTGGTATGAATTCATTAATTCCAGTGTTTCTGTAATTATTTTGGCAGAATTTAACTGTTGTGCAGAGCTTTGTCTATGTAGGATTGTTTTATTGAAAGGATTCTGCTTCCAGTTCTGTTCTCTAATTCTTCTATTGTTGAGACATGGTATGTTGTAAATGTGAGTTCTGTTCAAAGAGGATCTCCTGTTACACCACTGTTATCCTTTCTGTAAAGAGCTATGATCTTTTATATGTAGTGCTGTCAATTCATATAAAATAGTGCTTTCAGTTTAGATTAATGATGATTTCATCAAGGGTGTTTTCCATGCAGGTCATCCAGTGGCCATTTTTATGTATACAATGAAGAATATTTATAGAAAAAGTCGATATTAGATTGCTATTATATGAAATATTTGGAGAATGGTTTTAAGAGTTAAGTTATTAGTACTTTAAAACACTTGATTTCTATTACAGAACTATAAAAGGTGATTTGAAACTTTCTTTTTATGGTCACACTGATCCTATGTTGATACCAGACCGTTCAGTAGCACCAGGGATAAAGATATCAAACCACCTTTGCATTACACGCCAGAATGTGAAGCACCAAGCAAAGGTGTCTTGATCTGTCTTAGCAGTGGTGCTGGGGTGTGTGAGGGAGAGAGAGATCTTTTCAACTCTCATATTTACCCTATATATCACAGTGACACTAGCAGAACGGCTGCTATTAAAAAGGGCCCCATCCCACCCCTGAGATCTTCCTTCCAGTTTCAGATGCAGAGAAAGATTTTCAAGCTACCAGCACATAAGACTTCTATCACACTCAGCAGGAAGATGACAGAAAATGCTCAAACTTGTTTGCCATTTCTCCTCAAGGCAAAGTGCAGTGAACATTTCTTGACCCAGGCCATCAGAGTTTTGAACTGCTTTATGCGTTCTATTGGAGAGAGCGCATAAAGCCCATGTTGATGTTCTGGAAGCAGCCTAAATTTATTTATTTATGCATGCTCTGCCTTTCTCCCTAATGGGGATCCAAAGCAGCTCAAATCGTCATTCTGTCCTTCATTTATCCTCACAACAACCCTGTGGGGTAGGGTTGGCTAAGTATGTGTGACTGGCCCAGAAAGCTTCCATGGCAGAGTAGGGATTTAAACCTGGGTGTCCCAAATCCTAGTCCAGTGTTCTAACTACTATGCCAGGTGATAACTTGGACAGGTCAAGAAGCAGGAATTGTGTGTGTGTTCTATCAAATTCCTTTTGACTTTTTGTAACCCTGTGAATGAATGGCCTCCAGAACATCCTCTCGTTAACAGACTTGCTCAGATTCTCAAACAGGAATTAATCAGATATAAATGCATTTTTTTAATTGCAGCAGTATGAATTTATTTGCAACAGAAGTAATTCTGTATTCATAAGTATCAATATGCATGCAAGTGTCTTGTTACAACTAATTTTATTTTTATGACAGGTACCACTTTGATATCAGTCCCTATGAAGATTTATGGCCAGCCATTTTTGTCCATATGGTCCATCAGTGTTGTGGGACTGGCTGGTATGAATTCATTAATTCCAGTGTTTCTGTAATTATTTTGGCAGAATTTAAGTATTGTGCAGAGCTTTGCCTATGTAGGATTGTTTTATTGAAAGGATTCTGCTTCCAGTTCTGTTCTCTAATTCTTCTATTGTTGAGACATGGTATGTTGTAAATGTGAGTTCTGTTCAAAGAGGATCTCCTGTTACACCACTGTTATCTTTTCTGTAAAGAGCTATGTTCTTTTATATGTAGTGCTGTCAATTCATATAAAATAGTGCTTTCAGTTTAGATTAATGATGATTTCATCAAGGGTGTTTTCCATGCAGGTCATCCAGTGGCCATTTATATGTATACAATGCAAAATATTTATAGAAAAAGTCGATATTAGATTGCTATTATATGAAATATTTGAAGAATATTTGGAGAACTTAAGAGTTAAGTTATTAGTACTTTAAAACACTTGATTTCTATTACAGAACTATAAAAGGCGATTTGAAACTTTCTTTTTATGGTCACACTGATCCTATGTTGATACCAGACCATTCAGTAGCACTAGGGATAAAGATATCAAACCACCTTTGCATTACACGCCAGAATGTGAAGCACCAAGCAAAGGTGTCTTGATCTGTCTTAGCAGGGGTGCTGGGGGGGGGGTGTGTGAGGGAGAGAGAGATCTTTTCAACTCTCATATTTACCCTATATATCACAGTGACACTAGCAGAACGGCTGCTATTAAAAAGGGCCCCATCCCACCCCTGAGATCTTCCTTCCAGTTTCAGATGCAGAGAAAGATTTTCAAGCTACCAGCACATAA